TTACAACCCCCAGACAGAGCCCGCCCGCCAGAACAAACCCGCCAGACGACCCCCAGACGACCCCCAGGACAGACCCCCCAGACGAGTAATGGTACGACCCCAACCCCCTAGACCTACCTTGGCTATGGGCAGCACGGCCTGTATCTCGTCCTTGAGGATGGCCAGGCGAGTCGTCATCTTCCTGTTGTCCTGCACGGAGAAGGTCTCGTGGTGGTGCGCGTCCATGTGGTACCGCAGGAGCCAGGTGACCCTCGCCTCCCCTGCCTCGGCGTCGTCGGGGACTTCCAGCACCCAGGAGAGGACTTCGTGGAGGCTGCAGGGAGAGAGAGATAAGAGAGATAAGAGAGGGAGTATAACATGCTGCGTGGTATATTGTCTCATGGACACGTGTGGGTATTATGCTATACCCCAAAGCCACGTGCACACGTGCCCATGCGCCCCTTGGACAAGCTTGTGACCAAGACACGCTCTCGTCGCTCCGCCCATCATTTGTCGGATATAGGAGCTTGACCCCAGCTTGACCCGACCACATGAGTCAAATAGATATAACTAACACAGGCTAGAGAGAAAAAAGGCCCGGGCGGAACTAGACTTCGCAAATCTAAGTGACCTGACCTGACCCGAGAACACTCAGAGCCTGTCCCTCGTACCGCACGGACCGCCCACTCACCATAGCCACAGTTGCACCCCCGTGTAGCTGGCTAGGGCACCGCCCCCTTTACCCTTCTCATATCGTGTTTATTTCTACTCGTGTGTCTAACTCTTAGGAATAAAGAGTTATTAAACTATTAAAGTTATTAAGCTATTAAACCAGCATTTATAGAGAGATAAGCGAGAGATAGAGAGATAAAAGGGAGGTGAAGCGAGCTAGAAGCGAAGGCTGGGATAGGAATTAAAAGTTTAAAATTGAATTGAAATAGTTTTTTTTAGGTCTAAGTAAGGTTGCAAGAATTGTCATGTGCAATGGGGGGATGGGGTGAAGGGAAGGGAGGGTGGAGAGAGAGGGTGAGAAGAAGAAGAAGAAGAAGAGTAAGATCTAAGGGAAGAAAGGACAACATCTTTAGATTTCTTGATGGGAGAGAAGAGAGAGAAGAGAGAAGAGAGAGAAGAAAGGAGAAGAGAGAGAAGAAGAGAGAAGAGAGGAGAGAGAGAGAGAGAGAGAGAAGAGAGAGAGAGAGGAGAGAGAGACAGAGAGAGAGAGCAGAGAGAGAAGAGAGAGAGAGAGAGAGTGGAGAGAGGAGAGAGAGAGAGAATGAGTGATCGATCGAAAGAGAGAGAGAAGAGAGAGAGAGCGAGATCGAGGAACGAGAGATAGATAGATAGATAGTGAGAGAGGATATGGTTGTCATAGCAATACACATAGCTTAGTCATATACCTTTTAGCAACAGAAAAATATTTTTAATAATTCAATGAAATAAAAGGTTGATCTGCAAATAGCTATTCACATTTTCAATATCAATAATGATGATAATAATAATAATAAACATATCATTGGTAATATAATAATAATAATGAATAATAATAATTATAATAATAATAATAATAATAATAAAATAATATAAAATATAATATAATGATAATGATAATGATAATGATAATGATAATGATAATGATAATGATAATGATAATGATAATGATAATGATAATGATAATGATAATGATAATGATAATGATAATAATAACAATAATAATAATAATAATAATGATAATAATAACAATAATGATAAAAATAACAATGATGATAATAATAATTACAATAATAATAATTACAATAATAATAATAATAATAATAAATAATAATAATAATAATTAATAATAATAATTAATAATATAATAATAATAATAATAATAAATAATACATAATAATGATAATTAATAATGATAATAATGATAACAATAATAATAATAACAATAATGATAACAATAACTACAATACAAAGTCTTTGTTCTGAATATCACAATCTAATTTCATATCTTGAGACAAGAGGGTTTCATGCGTGTGAAATATGCATGACATAGATGGATTGTTTTAATTAATTATTCATGTATAAAATTAATTGGATATCATTATAAATGCGTGTGGTTGGGTCGTGTATGTGTGTTACGTGGCTGTGTCTGGTCTGTTTGTATTGTTTGTCTGTTTTTTTGTTTGTGTGTCTGTTTGTTATGTATGTTTGTTTTGTTTAGTTTGTCTGTTTGCTTGATTGTTCTGTCGTTTTGTCTCTCGCCCACTGTCTGTCTTGGTCTGTGTCTGTTTGTTTTGTCTTGTCTGCTGTCCTGTTCTTTGGTTTGTTCTGTCTGCTTCTTGTTTGTCTGTTCTGTCTGTCTGTTTTTGGTCTGGTCTGTCTGTCTTGTTTTCTGTCTGTTTGTCCTGTCTTGTCTCTGTTTCTTGCCTGGTTGTATGTATCTTGGTATATTTGTATGATTTTAAAACATGTTATGTATGATGTTGGTCTGGATTTTTTTTTGGGAGGCATTGTATTGTATGTTATTTTGTTT